TATCTGCAGCTCATCCAAGGCTGTGCAGGGTCTGGTCCATAGACCCTATTCAATTTCTATGACGGGGATATACACCCACTATGAAGATGAAAACATTAAATATTTTATAAGCTGATGCCACCGAGCATTTGAATTTACAATAATTTTCCTATGTTGTAATTCCATGTTTACCAACATCCATCAAATTACAATCTCACTTTCTTTATACTTGGATCATAGAAACAAAAATGTTGTCATCATATATAAATAATAATGCTGATTTAAAAAAACAAATAGTTTGAATTGGAAAGCAAACAATTGCCTTTCTTGTTTTATGTACATTTGACCCAGAGAGACGGTTGGATTTTGATTGTTCCAATGAATGAAGTTTCTAAACTTGCAGAGTTGAAGACTGGACCCTTATCTACGGGAAAGTAACCAAGAAAAAAGCTTTATGGTGAACACTCTTGGAAATTATCTAGCCTAATTATTTTTTATTTTTTAAAATTAAGTATATTTTATTGATTATGCTATTACACTGTCTCATTTCTTGTTTTCTCCCCTTTGTGCCCCTCCACCCGGTATCTCCCTTCCCTCTAGCAATCTCCCCGCTTAGTTGATGTCCGTGGGGCATGAACGTAAGTTCTTTGGCTTCTCCATTTCCTCTACTGTTCTTGACATTCCCCTGTCTATTTTGTACCTACCATTTATGCTCATTTTCTGCACCTTTCCCCCATTCTCTTCCTTCCCCCTACTATCTGATAACCCTGCAAATGATCTATATATCTATGGTTCTGTTCCTGCTCTGGTTGTTTGCTTAGTTTGGTATTTTCTTTTTTAGATTCACTTGTTGATACTTGTGAATTTGTTGCCCTTTTAATGTTAATAGTTTTGTTCTTTTTCTTAAATAATTCTCTATAACATTTAATGTAACAAAGGCTTCGTGATGTTGAACTCCTTTGGCTTTATCTTGTCTGGGAAGCATTCTGCCCTTCCATTCTAAATGATACCTTTGTTGGACAGAGTAATGTAGGTTGTAAGTCTTGCTTTTCATCACTTTGAATGCTTCTTGTCAGTCCCTTCTTGCTTGCAAAGTTTCTTTTGAGAAATCAGCTAACAGTCTTATGGGAACTCCTTTGTAGGTAACTCCCTCCTTTTAAGATTCTTTCTTTCTCTTTAACCTTTAGCATTTTAATTATGATGTGTCTTGGCGTGGTCTTCTTTGGGTCCAACTTGTTTGAGACCCTCTTTGCTTCCTGAACTTGTATGTCTATTTCTTTCACCAAATTAGGAAAGTTCTCTTTCAGTATTTCTGTCAAATACGTTTTCAATTTCTTGCCCTTCATCTGCTCCTTCTGGTACCCCTATTATTCAAACGTTGATACACTTCAAGTTATCCAGAGGTTTCTAAGTCTTTCCTCATTTTTTTGAATTCCTTTTTCTTCCTGTTGCTCTGAGTGAATGCTTTTTTTCTTTCTTCTTTTCTAGATTGTTGATTTGATTCTTGCCTTCATTTTCTCCACTGTTGGTTCCCTATAGGTTTTTCTTTATCAACCTTCATTTCTCCCCTTATGTTTTTGCTGTATTCAATGAACTCTTTGACCATCCTGATCACCAGTGTTTTGAACTCTGCATCTGATAGATTGGTCATTTCCATTTTGTTTAGTTCTTTTTCTAGAGTTTTGTTTTTTCATTTGGGTCATATTTCTTTGTCTCTTCAATTCGGTAGCTTTTATGTGTTTGTTTCTGTGTATTAGAGCTGCTTTGTCTCCCTGTCTTAGAAAAGGCACTTGTATATTGTGTGGGGCAGAGCCTTAGGTAATCACCAGGGTGGGGCAACAGGCTTCAACACCTTGTGGCTCTGTGGGGGGGAGGGCTCAGAGAGGGTACGAGGGTGCTGCACAGCTTCTGGAGGATTGCCCAGCACTTGCCCCATTTCCGGTCACTTCACCCACTTCCTATATGTGACTGCACTCTTCTAGCTGTTTCCCTGGCTGTGAATTCCAAAATGGGCGGATTGTGTATGTTCTAAATCAGTGAGAGCCCTTTAAATGGATTCTCCTGAAAATCCAGCAGTTTCTTCTGCCACTCTAACCTCCACTGGTATTTATAGCCAGGAGGTATGGAAATTTACCTTCCTGGTGCTGGGACCATGGGCTGTGCAGTATGGATTGCTGCATTGCCAAAGTAACCCTCCCAATTTTTATCTACCTGTTCCACTGACACCACCACCACCTCTCTGCTCCATGCAACATCTCCACACCTCTCTGACCATCTCCATGACTCTGTCCCTCATACCCATGAAGATGAATGTGGCTTCTTTAACTCCTTGGTTGTTGGAGTCCCATACAGCTCTATTTTCCCACAGTTCTGGTTTATTTGTTTTGAAATATATTCATAGTACTCTCAGTGGTTGTGTGAGGAGATGAAGCTTGTCTACCTAGACCTCCATCTTGACCAGAAGTCCTCTGAACTCTCTTCCCTTTCAAAATCGATTTTAGTTGTAGAAAAAGCCAGAAGTTGCAGGGTGCCAAATCTGGGCTGCAGGGGCACTGAGTCACCTGGGTGACTTGATGTTTTGCTAAAAAATTGCAGGAAACATGATAAGTGAGTAGGCACATTGCTGTGTAGAAGTTGACAATCATCAGTTACCCATAACTGTGGCCTTTTGATAATCCTAATAATTTTTGCAGAGGCATGTTCAAACAATGCAATTTTTTTTGTCTCTTTAACTGCATTTATTTTTTATTTATTTTTATGATGTTATTTTTTTATTTAGTTATTTTTCAAGTACAGTTTTCTGTCTATTTCTCCCATCCCAGCCCACCCCACCCCGTGCTCCCCACCTCCCTCCCATTTCCACCCCCCTTAGTTATTGTCCCTGTGTCCTTTATACTTGTTTCTCTAAATTCCTCCCCTTTTTTCCCCTTAAATTCCCTCCCCTCTCCCCTCTGGTTGCTGTCCCCTTGTTCTCTATTTCAGTGTCTTTGTTTCTATTTTGCTTGCTTGTTTGTTTTGTTGTTTAGCTTCTTGTTAAAGAGAGAAAGAAGGAGCTACTACCCTTTGCAACAACATGGATGGAACTGGAAAGCATTATGCTGAGTGAAATAAGCCAGGTGTTGAAAGACTTAATGCAAACTTTGATGCAGGTTTATTGCCTTACTCATTTAGTCATTTTGAATGTTACAGCCACACAATACACATGCTCACTCAATGGTATCTAACACCCCCACTGACTAGTGTAATGAAGTCATCATTGTTCATGCACATGCATTCCAGTCCACTCTCCTTGGCTGTCAGGTTACATGGATGTCATGCAAACTGTTCTTCTTATATTAATACTGGCTGGACTTTTTTCAGATAGACCTCTTACATCAGTAAGTATATGTAGTCAAAGGACTATGTTTAAATGTTGCTTGAATTAATTCTTTGTATATGTGTGGTTATATTTTATACACAGTTAAGCTTTTTGGTTTGTTTACATTCAAATTTTAGAGCTTGCTTTCTTCATCATTTCTTACTAAATATTATCTAAATATGTTTAAATAGTTAAAAATACAAAGCTATATAAAAATGTATACTCAGCCCTGGCTGGTGTGGCTCAGTGGATTGATCACTGGGCAAGTGAATCAAAGGTTGTTGGTTGGATTCCCGGTCAGAGCACATGAGTGGGTAGTGGGTCAGGTCCCCAGTTGGCGTTGTGGGAGAAGCAACATGTTGATGTTTCTCTCTCACTCAGATGTTTCTCTCCCTCTTTTTCTCCCTCCCTTCCCTTCTCTCTAAAAATAAATAAAACCAAAATCTTTAAAATCATGTATACTCAGTGATGTCTTACATTTATTTGCCTCATTCTCACACAACTGCATGTGTGTGTGTGCCCATGCACAATTACTGAGGTGCATGAAAACTTGGCTTACATGTGTAAATGAACATGTTACATTCAAGAGCAAATCAGAAAATTTGCAAAGCCCGGATGATTAAGGTATTTGACCAAACAAATGTATAGATTTTGCAATGATATTTACATGATTGAGGGTGAAAATAAAAATAGTTCATTCCCTCCCTGAAGTTCTGTGTCCTTCCACATTTGCATTATACCCATCTCTGCCCTGCTTCATGAGCTTTGATTATATTTAATGCATCTAACATTAAATATGGAATAAAAATAGAGTAATCATAACAATAGAATAAATGTTCCTATTACAAATTATTCTAAAATGTTATCCAAAGCAAAAAGCTATTTTTTTAAATGAGTGGTAGTCAATTATTTTATTATTTATGTGATTTCTTAAGAAGCTACACTGTAATTTGTTTAAAGAACAAATTCGCTCTGAAATCATTTAAATACTTTTACTAAGCTTCCTTAAATTATATTTCTGCTAACAAGGATAATACTTTTGGGGAAGAGTTTATTTGTGGAATTCAGGTCTCTTTTCTATATATTCATGTTGAATAATTTCTTTCCTTTCTGGTATCAGATTACTATCGGGTCTAGATATGTGTTGCTTAAATTATAGGAACTGATTAGGGTAAGAATTCAGGTCAAGGATGAAGTTATTAGTAGTAATAAATAAATATACTGGTCTCTGCCAAGTCAAAAATTTAAGACTGAAATATTCTAATTGCTGAGTGACTTTTTCCTGATAATTTGACCAGTTTTTCTAGAGCTGCTGTACAAAGTACCTAAAGTATGGGACCTAAACAACAGAAATTCATGGTCTCAGAGTCCTGGAGGCCAGAATTCTAAGATAAAAGTGTTGTCAGGGTTAATGCTTCAGGAGTTGACAGGGACCATCCTTTGCATGCCTCTCTCCTGGCTCCTGATGGGTGGCTGGCAATGTTTTCTGTTCCTTGGTTTGTAGAAACATCACTCCAATCTTTTCCTTCATCTTCACATGGAGTTCTCCCTTGCCTGTGTTGGTTTCTGTGTCCAAGTTCTTCCTTTTCATAAGTTCAAATTCATACTGGATTAAGGTCCACCATACAACCTCATCTTAGTGATCTCCAAAGACCCTATTTCAAAATTTTTGTAAAAAATGGTCAGATTCATAGGTACTAGGGTTAGGACTTCAACACATGAATGTTTGGAGGGACAGAATTCGACACATAATATCTGATAAATAAATTATAGTAAAATTTTCTATCATGATTTTCTATTACATTTTGGGGGTAATTCTGCAACATTTGAATATGGTATAAGTGCTGTAATTCCAGGATGTGAGAGAAAGAGAGAGAGAGAATGAGAGAGAGAGATTGTTGACATTAAAAAAAATATATGTCCAGCCCTGGTTGGCATGGATCAGTGGATTGAGTGCCAGCCCAAGAACCAAAAGGTCACTGGTTCAATTCCCAGTCAGGCACATACCTGGGTTGCAGGCCAGGTCCCCGGTTGGGAGTGTACAAGAGGTTACCAATCAATGTATCGCTTACACATTGATGTTTCTCTCCCTCTCTTTCTCTCTCCCTTGCCCTCCCTCTAAAAGTAAGTAAATAAAATCTTTAAAAAAATATGTCCAGCTTAAGCTGAAATTTTCTAACAAAACCCATTGATTAACATTAATATATACATTGAGGAGCATTGATCAGTTCCTTTGCATATGCAATTCCCGATGTCATTCAGGATATGTGAACACATACTTCATATCTAATATTGTGTTAGGGGTTACTGAAAAGCAATCACGAAAATGAACAAACAAAAAATTATATAAAATTTATTTGGCTACGAGTACAATGTGTTAGGGAAATATGAGCCACAGTAAAATACACACATAGTAAATACTTAAGAGATAGACTTTGACAGTGACTGAAAATATTGCAAGAGCTCAGAAAATGAAAATTCAAATGAGATTTATTAATATATGAACACGCTGAAAAATCAATAAGAAAATGGGAAACACTCTAGTAAACAGGGTTCATCAACAGAGAATTGATTAAATTATGCCATATCTCTCTACCATGGAGTACTCTGCCATTATTATAGCAAGTGCAGATCCTCCTGTGCTGAAATGGACACAGAGAGAGGTTAGACCAAAACTATTAATGGGCTGCAAACTTTAAGAACTGGGTTCAGAAAATAGACAAGAGTGGGATACTAGAAAGTATGAATCATACTTTATACCTTTCCATGCTGTTTGCATTTTTATAATGTATATCCTTTATTTTGAGCATTTTTTAAAATTGAGGGATCTCATTTGTTTGGAGTTGAGTTAATCATATGTCTCTGTTCATAGTATATTATTATCATTTGACCAAATCTCTTTGTTGTTTTGTATCTATACATGCAAGTATACATATGTGTGTGTGTGTGTGTACACACACAGTCCACCACAAATAATGCCCCTTTCTTATTACAAAATTTTTTATTACAAAATCATAAGCATGTAATTCTGTAACATAACGATATCACACTCAAGCATGTCATATGATGTTTTAGGTGAAATGTTCAAATTAAAACTATAAATTATTACATGCATATTATTACTCTACCAACCACATTCAAGCACAGGTTACTTCTGCTGGATGCATATATAATACATACATATTTTATTCACATATTCATATTCTATTCCTTTTGCCTTCCCATACGTCATCACTATATTATGTTTAACATACATCTTTTTGTTTATAACTTTACAAAACACGTATTGTTTTCAGTGCATAATTTTAAATGTATGCAGTTTATACGGTTATAGCTCACTTTGTAACTTACATTACTCACTGGGGACCATGATTTGGAAAGCATGTGTGCTGCTGTGTGATGCCCCTGATGTGCTCCTCCTCTGGCCTGCCTACAAGCATGCACCATCATGGTTTACTGGTCCACTTCCCGAAGAACACTTGGGTTGCTTTCACAAATTACGCTGTGGTGAATATCCTTGTACAAGTACATAAGAATTTCTTTGCAATAAATATCCAAGTGGAAATGCTAGGTCATAGTTTACATGTAAACCTAACTTGCCCAAGTGGTGCCAGCTCCTCTCCCAAATGGCTGCACCCATCCACATGCCCACAGATGGTACACTGGGGCTTGCATCAGGGTTACATGCCCCCATGTCGCTGTTCACATTCAGGTGAAGTTTAATGAGGTTGTCAGATCTAGTAGGTATAAAATGATATCTCCTGTTTTTGCTTGAATTTCTTTGATAACTCTTTAAAAATGTAATGAAAAAAATGTTTATTTATATCTTTCCTTTCACTCTGCTATGGCTTCTTTTAGAATCCAGCTGTGTGTTTTCACTTACTCAAACTTGTATATTTTCTCTACAACCTCACACTCTTCATCGTTCAAAGCAATATAACAAGTTCACAGATGATTGGTGCTTAGAAGAATCTTGAAAATCTAGAACAATATCCTCATTTTTAAATCCAAGAAAACTCAGACCTTGAGGAAATAATGACTCATTTTATGAAAATAAATTAAATAGCCCCGGCTGGTGCAGCTCAGTGGATGGAGTGTGGGCCTGCAAACCAAATGGCACTGATTTGGTTCCCAGTTAGGGCACATGCCTGGGCTGTAGACCAGGTCCCCAGTGGGGGCTGTGAAAGTGGCAACCACACACTAATGTTTCTCTCCCTCTCTTTCTCCTTCCCTTCTCCTCTGTCTGGAAATAAAGAAATAAAATATTTTTAAAAAGAAAGTAAATTAAATAAATGATATTATTATTTAATACATAATATTACAGGAATATGAGGGACAGAACCAGAACTGATAAGCAGCAAAGTGCAGGGTGGAAGTGTCAGGGCTTTGGAGTCAGTTAGAAAAATGAAACTAAAGAAGTTGGAATAGTTGAATAAGGCTTCTCAGGGGAAGATGAAGCTGAAACAAGCCTTTGAAAGATGCACAGAGAAGAAGAGGAAATTTGTTGAATGAAGAAAGTGACTTAAACAAAGCCATCACCACAGGGCACAAGCATGCTGTGTCTTTTGCATAATAGAGAGCGGCAAGAATGAATGACTGCATGCAGTAAGACATCAGGAATCTGGAGAACCTAACCAGACTGGGTACGTTCGTTTTAGGGCCTAGTGCAAGTAAAACCATAGGGTCCCTTATCCAAAAATTAAGAATTACAATGTGGTCGGAAGAACATTAAGCCAAGTGTGAGACTCTATGAGACTGCACATTCATGAAGCTCTCCTTGAATCTAGCAAGATTTAGAATATGTGGTTGGAATTTGGATCCAGTGATGTTTGTGAGCCTAAGAGTAATATAATGAAAGCAATGTTTTAAAAAATATAGATCTCACTAGGGTATAATTCCAAAATATATATCAAAAATTTAAATGCAACTTCCAGCTGAGGCATATGTAGATACACTTTGACTCCTTGCACAACCAAAAGAAGGACAACAACAAATTTAAAAACAAAACACAACCAGAACTGCCAGAAAATTGAACTGTATGGAAGTTCGACAACCAAGGAGTTGAAGAGAAAACATTCATTCAGACTGGCAGGGCAGGGGCGGAGATGGACAGCCAGGTTGGAAAGGACCCACAGCAGGGCAGTGGCTCTGGAGGACTGGGCGGTCCCACATTTTTGTGCAGATAAACTGGAGGAACAACTGGCGAGTGAGACAGACCTCACAAGTCAGGGTTCCAGCATGGGGGAAGAAACCTTCAAAATCTCATGCTATAAAAACCTTTGGGATTACAGGGGTGGGAGAAACTTCCAGCCTCACAGTAGAGTTCATTAGAGAGATCTACGGGGTCCTAGAATGTAGACAAACCCACCCACTGGGAATCAGCACCAAAAGGGCCCAATTTGCTTGTGGGTAGCAGGGGAAGTTACTGAGAGCCAGCAGAAAGCCCAACAAGCAAAGTTGTTTCCTCTCAGATCCCTCCCCCACTTATAGCGCCACAACTCAGCAACCAGCATTGCCCTGCCCTGGTGAACACCTAAAGCTCCACACCTTACAGTAACAGGTGCACTGAGACCAAAAAAATATGGTCCAAGTGAAAGAACAGATTAAAGCTCCAAAAATAGAACTAAGCAATGAAGATATAGCCAATCTATCAGATGCAGAGTTCAAAACACTGGTAATCAGGATGCTCACAGAATTGGTTGAGTATGGTCACAAAATAGAGGAAAAAGTGAAGGTTATACAAAGTGAAATAAAAATATACAGGGAACCAACAGTGAAGTGAAGGAAATTGGGACTCAAATCAATGACTTGAACCAGAAGGGAGAAATAAACATTCAACTGGAACACAATGAAGAAACAAGAATTCAAAAAAATCAGGAGAGGCTGAAGAACCTCCGGGACAACTTTAAAAGTCCCAACATCCAGATCGTAGGGGTACTTGAAGGAGAAGAGGAAGAGCAAGAAATTGAGAATTTATTTGAAAACAATGAAGGAGAACTTCCTCAATCTGGCAAAGGAAATAGACTTCCAGGAAGTCCAGGAAGCTCAGAGAGTCCCAAAGAAGTTGGACCCAAGGGGCTCACACCAAGGCACATCTTAATTACATTAGCCAAGATTAAAGATGAGAGAATCTTAAAAGCAGCAAGAGAAAAGAGACAGTTACCTACAAAGGAGTTGCCATAAGACAATCAGCTGATTTCTCAAAAGAAACCTTGTGGGCAACAAGGGGCTAGAAAAAAGTATTCCAAGTCATGAAATCCAAAGACCTACAACCAAGATTACTCTATCCAGCAAAGCTATCATTTAGAATGGAAAGGCAGATAAAGTGCTTCCCAGATAAGGTCAAGTTAAAGGAGTTCATCATCACCAAGCCCTTATGTGAAATGTTAAAGGGCCTAATCTAACAAAAAGAAGATGATAAAAAACTATGAACAGTAAAATGACAATAAACTCACAACTATCAACAACTGAACCTAAAAAGCAAAAACCAAAAGAAAAACAAACTAAGCAAACAACTAGAATAGAAACAGAATCACAGAATGGAGTTCACATAAAGGGTTATCAGAGGGATGGGGGAGGGGGGAAATAGGGGAAAAGGTATAGGAAATATGAAGCGTAAATGGTAGGTACAAAATAGGGGGAGGTTAAGAATCACATAGGAATGGAGAAGCCAAGGAACTTACATGTGTGACCCATGGTCATGAACTAATGAGGGGAGGTGAAGAACGCTGGTGGGAGGTGGGACACAGGGCTGAGGGGGGAAAGGGGGAGAAAAAATGGGACAACTATAATAGCATAATCAATAAAATATATTTAAAAGAATAAAAAAACATTTAAAATGCACTCACCCTTTGACTTGGCCATTGCACTTGAGGAATTTATCCTGCAGATATTTTCGTACACGAGCAAAATGGCATTTGTTCAAAGGTATTCACGGTTGTGTTGATTGTACTAGCAAAAGATTGGAAACAAGGTAAATGTCCTCTGGTCTACGGCCATACCACCCTGAACACGCCCGACCTCGTCTAAATGTCCTGCGTGAAGGAGCTGGTTAAGGCAGTTACAATAGCCCCGTGCGGTGCACATTCTCACCGTCTTCAGGCATCGTAGCGTTACAGCTGGGTTCTCTGTCTCCATGCCTTGACTCTAAATTCTCAGGAAACTTGGCTATAAGGTACTATGTGTGATTGTGGGGTGGGATAAATAATGTTTTAATTCCTAGTAAAGGGCACAGAGCTATTACAAAGAGTTAACTTTAAGTGTACTTAGAAGAAAATTTTTTTGAGATCTATTTTTCTAAAAAAAAGAGGAACAAAAAGGCAATGGGCACAACAGCACGTATGGTACGTGCCACTTGTACATAAAAGTAAAATGCACTATTTGTATCTACGTAGAGTAACTGGCAGGAAACACAAGAAACTTGTGACAACGGCCGTCTCTGAGAAAGGGAAACCAGCAACAGTGGGTGGGATTAAGACATACTTTTCAACACGCACTCTTTAGAAATGCAAACAAACTGAATACTCCTTTTTAAATCTTTAAATTACAACTGACATACAATATTAGACTAGTTTCAGGTGTATAACAAAGTGATTCGACATTTATATAATTTATGAAACTATGCACCCAATAATTCTAGTACTCATCTGACACTCTACAGTTATTATAATATTATTGGCTATATTGTCTGCGCTGTATTTTACATTCCCATGACTATTTTATAACTAACAACTTGTACTTCTTAATCCCATCTCCCCAACCACCCTCCTATCTTGCAACCATCAAAATTTTAACACACACTTAAACCTTTTGACTTTTGTACCATATGCATGGGTTACTTATGAAAACAAGTATATTTTAAGAAACCAAGTGACTCATGAGGAAGGAGAGAGAGCCCTTCTGAAGGGAGGGGAAAGACCTTTCTGTGGTTAGATGGTAGGTAGCCAAGAGTCAGAGCTCAAGTATTTAAATAAATGCCATACACGGTGATGGGCATAAAGACAAGGAAAAGGAAAATTTGCACCCACCCACATTTCCTCCACCCTGAGGGCTTTGATACTATCAATAAGTCAATTCTTGAACCAGCAATAAAGGAATGATTGAATTTTCAAAAAATTTAAAAAAAAAGAAGCAAAGAGAGAAAGGGAGGGAGAGAAAGAAAAGGAGAGAGGAAGAAAATCTGACTGGTAGCAGCATGCAGGATGGCAAAGGAAATAAATCAGAGATCTCTAAGGAACCTAGGGAGTAAGCAGGTAAGGCTCTGCACTAGGTAAGAGGGATGGGCGTGAGGGGTAACGGCAAGCGGCAATGCCGTTTGGAAAGGGGGAACTCAGCCTTGCTGGCTAGTGGGGACATGCTGGAGGACTAGGAATGAGCTTACCGTGAACAGGGTGATTTTGCAGTGACAGCCTTCCAGGAAATATCGCTGCCTTCTCAACATCTGCATGCATCTGAGAATTACACCTGGATTCTTCATTGCCATGCCTTGGTTTTAATCCTTAGGAAAGTAGGCCTTAGGGTACTACTTGTGATTCTAAAATGGAATAAGTAATGATTTAATTCCCAGCCAGTAAAGGGCAATCCAAATAACTGGCTCCTCCATTTCCCCAGGGCTAGTTTGTAACCTGGGACAGAAATAAGCTGTGTGTATTAAATCAATACAATCACTCACAAGTTTTTTTTTTTTTTTTAATGTCATTGCTTTGGTGGCTGTGTATCATATGAACTGTCTCTGTTTCTTAATGGTTTGCTTTCTTCAGGTTACATCAATCTGGCCACATTTCCACAGTGAGCCAACGCCAACTGGGGACTCGGTGCCTGGAACAAGTGTTCCAAGACGCTATGATGCAATTTACATTCCTTGCCCGCCCTTTGGGCTGTCACAGTGACCAGATTTCCCAAAAGAGATGACGGTATAACATGTCACGGAACTCCCCGCCTCTTCCTTCTGCCAGCCTCCGTGGGGCCGCCCAGAAGGCACTCCTGGCCATCTCGTGGTTTTTCCATGCTGGACCAATAACAAAATCACTGTCTGCCACAGCATCTAAGATGTGAAACAAAATTAATACAGAGTTCATCTATGATATATAATAATACATGTATTTGTCACGATGTGCCACTGAGAATTAGACAAGGGGACAGGCTTTTGCCGGCCTGAAGAAGGCATCTGTTTCGACAGATTCCATAACACCCTACTTCTCTGTTTCTCTCCTTTTGGCTCCCCAACTCCTTGTACTCGCTGAAATAGAGCTTCCCAAGGCTCTGCCCTCAGCTCTGTTCTCTTTCTGTGATTCCCTCCATGTCCACATTCTTGCCTTGGACTCCCGTGCAGTTGACTCCCTTCCCCACCTCTGCAGCCTTCATTTCGCCAGATCTACACGTCAGCTGCTCAGAAGGCATCTCCCCCTGCTTGTGTCCGTATTTCCAGAAGGAAACACTTGACTGCACCCTGTTCCTTTCAGTCCTTTCTCCTCCAGACTTCCCCACATTATATACCACTGTTCTCCCAGTCACGTAAGCTGGGTCCCTACATTGATTTTTCTTTCTCATTCTGTCTTGCCGTTGCTGTGAACCTCACGGGTCCTCACCCTGGTTCAGGACCCCATTGGCTCTCCACTCCCACTAAAACCTCCTGAATGCATTTCTCTGCCTTTAACTTGTACTTCTCTTACACGTCACCCCTTCAAATGCTCTGATCCTCCTGCTGAAAAAAATAATCAGTGCCTTCCCTTGCTACAAAATTTACATTATTTGGAGAAATTAGGGATGAGTCCTTCAAATATTTCTCATGGGTTTCACTGTCCCTTTGTAATTCTACCACTATGAGTTTCTTTAAACCTTTTTAATCCTTTCATATTTTCAGCCTACATTACATTCAAGGAGTTCTCTAAATTTACTTTGTTTGTGGTAAATAGTTTCTCAGTTTGTGTTGTTCAGAGGCAAGCAATATAAATGCTGCTAATTAACTTTTTTTTAAAAAGAACAACTTATTGTCTAAAGACAACTTACTGATTCACATAAACCAAAATCCAGCCATGGCTGCCTCTAAAGGCTCAATATTATCTTAGAGATGCTTGTCTGTCTCTCCTGGACAAGCAAGTTCAAATAAGCAATCTCAGCTACAAATTCAACATGTTTGTTCACCCTAGGAGAAAGGTTCTTATTTCCTTACTTATATCTCTGGCAAAAAAATGATGGTAAGAATTCGATTGTCCCAGGCATAATCATATATCCATGATCACACATACACTAAGCACAGTGGTGAGGGAAATACTTGGCTAGACCTGTTTCATAGTTCTACCATTGTGACAGAACCAGATTTGGGGAAAAGTTAGCCTTACCCAAATCTCAAGGTTCTCTACACAATAAAAAATTTCTGCCAGACTTGTATCAGAAAGTGTGTGACCTGCTGGACACACATACACATTCACACACACCCTGATTTTGGCTGCATGTAACAAAATGCCCAACTTAATGGGGATGAGACAGTAAATTAAAGATCTTTCATTATCTTACTTAAACAAAAGCCTGAAAGAAAACATCCAAGGATGGTGCAGTGTCTCTTTCCATCCTTCTGCTGGGTCCTCCTTCATCATCCTTCAAGTCAGAAGATGCCCGGGAGTTCCCAGCACCACGCCTCATACCACGGTGTTACAAGCAGGGAAGAAAAGGCAGAAGAGATGTCCCATCTTTTCCCAGAAGATTCCAGCTGACTATATACTTCCCTCTGGTTGTCAGAACCTGTCGGAATCCCACCCTAGATAAAATTTTAGGAAAGAAAATAGGATAACTGGCGTAGGGTGCTACATTTGTCCCAGAGGCTAGGTAGATTGGTACCAACTTTCATTGAGAAAGAAAGTAAAATGGCCTTGGGTAGGCAACTACTAATGTTTACCATTACATCATATTTCTTATTTGATTCCTTACACCTGTTTTAAACTTTTGGTGGTGTTTCTTACACTGAGGGTTGTATTTATTATTTTTTTAGATTGTTATTTTATTTTGAATCATAATATTTTGGAGTTCAGAGAAACTTGGGTCATTTAGTTCAGGGCTTTTCAAAGTTTGTTTTCCACGTCAGATTTTTGACCCATCAAACAAATGTAAATAAATGGGAGAGTTTAAAAATGAGCTGGTGGAAGGGACACCTCTCCACCCAAAGAAGGTGGAGTCTTACCAGGCAATGGCCTTGAGGTCCTTCGGGAAAGCTAGAGCCCTTCGGAATGCCATTTAGAAAACCACATCTCTCCTCTGTTCTTTTATTTTCATGAACTGGGGTTCAGAGAGGTAAAATGATTTGACTTTGTTTTCCCACAGGTCACTTACAATTGCAGTCCAAATTTTCAGCTTCCCTAATCTCTTTATACCATTTATGTATTTATAACCCTGTGATATATTTGTCTTCATTTTTTTTCTGCATCCACTTACTAAAAATTTCTTAAAAACAAATTTTAACAGGAATTCTTACATTACTTCAGTAGCCTTTTATGATCTTTTTCTAACTCCAATCTACTATTCCTGATACATAATATCCTGAGCTAAGTGCAGTATTTCTGGTGCAAGTGCACAGTGATTTATTCTGTTCTACGTAGAACAGAGTGATGGGTAAGCATCTAGAGGTTAACTAGGACAACTACATGTTTTCCAGTCTTTCACTGAGGTTCAGTTTCCTCATCTATTAAGTGGGAGTAATTATAATACCTCACTGGGTTGAAGTCCATGTGTAATAATACTAACACGGCCCAGCACATGGACCCTGCTATGTGTTTGCTGTTATTTTCTCATATTTCCCCCTAAATCCTCTTTGGTTTTCAATGATCCTGAAAAGTGTTAGAAATTTCCTTTCCAGAGATAAAGGGCTAAATCCAGAAACTTCTATCTTATGTTTAGATTCATTTCCATAAATGCATTCTTTTCACTTACTTTCTCCCCTCCATCTATCCTCATAGGGTTTTCAATTTTACTTTCCATGGAAACTAAGCATCAAGGACCAGACTCATACTAGTTTATATTGAAAAGTCATTCACAAAGAAAGAAGGGGCAGTTTAGAGAATTACATGACTTGGTCAGAATCACCAACACTTCGAAGTTCCCGGTTCACATGACAGAGATGCAACATAGCCTTATAATTTGGTTCAAGATATCCCAGTTCCCCTTCCCTGCTCCTTTGTCCCTAATCCCATTCTGACAAATATCATCATGTATTTGTCTTAACAGCTGCACTGATAAAAAATAAAGGGGTGGGGTGAGGGGGAGAAGAGCCGTTATGAATTATCTAAATGTCTGAAGAAACAGCTGGGTAATTGTGTAGTCCTGTACCTACATAACAAAACTTTAATTTGCCTTCTTCACTAAGGAGAGCTTGAGAAGAATCTCCTCACATAGTTCAACAGAAAATTAATGACATTTTCTCTAAATGTTAATGCTTTCTCAATATTTTGGATAATTCTTTAATTAAGCATTACATTACTTTCTCTAAAATTGAATATATAAATACTATGAAACTACAGAAAAAGAACCACTCATATGAAGATATCTCTATTTGTAGGATGTAGAAAGCATATGTACACAGTGGGCATTGGTGGTTCAGTGGTAGAATTCTCGCCTGCCACGCGGGAGGCCCGGGTTCGATTCCCGGCCAATGCAACTTTGCTCCTTTTGCACTTGCACGTCATGAATACTGAAAACAGGGTCATAACAACAAGGAAATGTTTGCTTTATGCAGATAAATATGAATCAAGGTAAAGTCCCGTTTTACTTTTACTTTGTGTAACCAAAAGTGCTGATTTCCTAAACCTCAATATTCTCTCTCAGCCTCCCAGATTGTTTTGGGGGGCCCGAGCCCATGTGAGCAAAAATCACGTGTGGTAATAGAATATATTGTACGATTTAAGTAGGAAAAAAAACACCGACGGCTGGTTGGAGATGCCGGGGATTGAACCCGGGACCTCACACATGCGAAGCGCGCGCTCTACCACTGAGCTACATCCCCCAGCCGCTAACCCCTCTCCTGGTATAGACTTTCATTCAATTTATTTAGCACTAGCCACATTTCTACATTAACTTCAAACATATTTCCCTGAGTGCTTTTGCTGTACGTTTTTACTCTCCCTACCTCTTTCTCTAGCTGCTTTCCGCGGTGCATCCGGGCCCGGCGCAGCCAGCAGTCAGATGCGGCGGGGACACACCAGTCCCGGAGCGCGGCTGCTCGGCGTTCGCAGTCCGGTTCGGAGAGATCGGGCACCCGGACCCGCCGCCGGGCGAGACCGGAGTGCGCGGAGCCCCAGCCGGACTCCCGGAGGGGGAGTTAACCGCGCAGGCGCAGCAGAGTCCGGGCCTCCGGGCACCTCCTTCCCCGGACTTCGCGGCTCGGACTCCGGCCGGAGAGTCAGCTCGCCGGCCGCGCCGCTGTTGTGCTCCGGAGACCCGCTCCGGAAACAGGGTCGGGGAGACCTTCTGCACGCACCTGGAAACCGTGTGGGTTTACCCGTGCAACCCCCATCCCCGAAATAAACCCTCATCCCCGAAAAAGGACGCGTTCACGCCAAATCCCCACCAAACTGGGGTATGTAGAGGTGATAGCCAACTTTTGGAGATGCAAATGATTTCGCAACATGCTCTTCTCTTTCATGGGGCCCACACTGAGAGAAGGAAAATGATACAGCCACTCTCTTTGTAGTTTAATTACATATAAATGACAATAAAGTCAGGGCGGGGGACCTAATCAAGAAGTATTTTTCCGTTTGATGTTTACATCTTGGACGCTCCTGACCGACTGATATGGTAGTGGTGTAAGTCATTGAGCACCTTTAATGCCCTGTGAAACTTCCTTGACCACTGATCGCACTCCAGCCCCAGACGAAGAAATGTACTGTGCCTTCTTTCTCGGAAATTTCTTCTCTCCAGTTGTTTGCCTGCTAGGTAAATCCCTGAGCTAATTTCCATTATAGTTAGACGAGGTGTGTTTGTTCCTTCCCCATGCAATTTAAACTGATACCACCGCACACAAGAGAAGGCTAGGTGCTAGAAGCCTCAGACATTCCAATGGAAGGAACATGGGAGAGATTTGGTGTCAGGGAAGCTGGGTCAAAGTCACTTCCAACCACCACGGGTAAGGTTGACCTCAACAGGTAGCATGATGAGGGCCTAGAATTTCCACTCCCTTAGTGGCAGCAGAACACCCCTTACAAATTAAATGGGCAGCAGACCCAAAGCCAGAGCAGAAAGCCAAAATTTCAAAAACTGGGTAAACCACAGCTTTGTAATTAACTCCCACATTAACAATAAGTGTTATGTTTGCTGACAGCAATTTAAACAAATAATAGCTCCTCATCAGATTGTTTTTAACCAGAATAAGCCACATGTTTAGCTAATAACACAATAATACAGAAGGTATAAAGGAAAAAAAAAAGCCTCATCACTGGACAGTCATTAAGGAGCTCTTCTCCAAGGCAGCTGTGGAGCCACGATGCTGGCCTTGACCTGCCTGCATCTGGATTTTAGGAGAAAGAAATCAACTTTCTTCATGGTGAAGCCTCTTTATTCAGGTTCTCTCTTTTTTATTAATGAGAACCTAACTTCTCATTAATAAAAAAGAATTATTCTTTCTAGGGCAAAGGTAAACATGCAGACATACGTTGCTCATGTGGCCCAAACAGACCTGCTTTGATGAGAAACAGTATTGTCAGGTTTCTTTTCCTTGAACTTTTATATTTTGACTTCATTCTTCATTTAACTTTTAAAACACTATGATAGTTGCATATTAAAATAAAAGCAATAGCAAGTAGTGAGCATAGTATGATTACAGTCCCTCACTCATTCACTAATGTATATGAAATGTCAGCAGCGAGTGTTATTCACTGGCCCCATTAAGGGGTCTGACCCTGAACACCAGCCCTAGGATGATGTTCATCATCCTCATACACTGCTCCATTGTAATGGTGCCACCTTTCTTGATTTGGATCAAAGTCCACCAGTTCTGCCTGGTCCATTTCATCAGTCTCTTCTACTTCCTTCCTTTCGGGTAGAAGAGAGCTTATCAGGAGAGAGAAAGCCTTTCTTAGGAAAGCTTACCTTAAATTCAATGATCAGACAACCCTTTTCATATAGTCTATGATAAATTAGTCTATCATATAGTCTATGATAAATGCCTTCATTTAGCACACACTTGATATCTCCATGCTTGACAATCTGATCTGAATGAGAGGTGATGACTAAGGTTTGGTTGCTAAGCATATCTATTGGCTTTTGGAAGCTACACAATGCTTCAACCAGCTGTATGCCTGTACACATGAAAAGATCTTATTGAATGAAAATGATATGGTCCTTCTAATCTAAAACAATGATAATATCTCCTGGCTCTAGTCTTGATTGTTGGTCTCCTTTCCCACAAAATGTTATCTTCTGGCTATCTTTCCTGCCATTGTCAATTTGAACTTCTAGAATCTTCTCTCAAACTATCTTTCTCCCATTGCAGCTTTTGCATCTATTTTTGGGACTGATCCATTCCTCAAAGGCCCTGGCACCCCGTGTGTGCAGACTGAATGTGCTGAACCATTCCTGGTCCTATCTGGTACCTTGGCAGTTGGGACAGCAGTCTACTGCTCCTTTCTACTACCTCAGCCTTCACATTTGTCACAAATCACATTCTTTTGCAAAGTTAGTTTTCTTGTTGCCTCGTTGTATAAATCTTCTAAGGTTATTGAGAACTGATGCACACCATTTTTACCTTTTTCCTCCCTCTACATCCTTCTTCATCCTCCAAAAACCATCAAATATGTCCATGGGGGAACTAAAGCCACCACCTGTTCCACCTTTTTAATTGCCTGTTCTCCTCCTTTATCATATAATGCCCTTGTCTTTGCATCAGAGAGCACTTTGTAAGCTTGAGAAATCTGTTTAAACTTCTCTCCTTCATTTGGATTCTTATCAAGGTGCTACTTCAAGGCCCACTTCCTGTAAGCCTTGTTCAATTCTTCTTGGGTAGCATTGGGTTTAACCCCCAGAGCATGATAATAATTGGTTGCTTTCACCATTTTTGACAGCTGGTGAGCAGGCTGAGGCAGGTGTGGAGGGGCAAGAAAGAGATTGTTGCTTCACAGCTCAGAAAGCCACTGCTCATCCACTTCTCACTGAGTGTTCTGGAAAGTTCCCAGTATTATCAGTTTTACAACATGAGGCTAAGGCTCTCTTCAGCACTGCCAATGAGGTTGAGGCTCTGACAGGCTGGATGGCAGCCAGGGATTGTCCTGTTCACTAATTCTAGGTAAAGAAAGGATATAGAACTTTCTTGCTTATTTATCACCAAAAGAGAAAGGGAAATAAAGGCAATTGCACCTTAAGGAAATACTGTTTCTCAATAGTTCCTCTGTATTTTAACTATCCTTAACTAATTAGAGGTGAATTAAGAGGAAAAAAGCAGCATGGGTTTCCCCTGGATTCAGAGGTTTAGCTCCCAAAGATTGTACATGCTGCTCCTCTCCAATGCTAAGCTTTTGCTATTATGTACAAACTCCTTAAAAAGTGTGAGATAGATATAAATGTTAACTGGTATCCCAAATGCTCATATTTCTTGCCCCTCTTGACTAACAAAAATGAAGCCAACTATGATATTATCCTCAGTCAGGAAACTAAAGAGTTTCCCATGAATGTACAAAAAGGCAGAAAGAATAATAACATTTAGATAAATATTGTGTGGGACCCCAGAAAATATGCCACAGCTATGCAAATATATATGGTGAAAATAACACACACACACACACACACACACACACACATATATGCTTTAAGAACTCTATATACTTTAGACTTCCGCCAAGATGGAGGTATAGGTGGAAACACTTTGCTTCCTCACACAACCAAATCTAAAAACAACAAAAATTTAACAACAAATGCAACCAAACCACACAGAAAATCAAACAATATGGAGTCCGAAAATAACAAACCGCTCAGCTAAACCGGTGAGAGGGGCAAAGTCAGCAGCGGGGTCGGGCTAAAAAGATCCCCCTACTGGGCTTCGAGCAGGCTGCCAAGGGTGCAGATCCCAGGTGCGGGGTAGCTACTGCCAGACCCAGGGAAGGCGCGGTGACGGCCAGCCATGCATTTGCACACAGATAAACCAGTGAAGAGATGTGTGTTGAGACAGACCACGCAGGCCCCGGCACAGGGCAGCGGGCTTGCACATTTGCGCTCAGATAAGCAGGTGGGGGCAAGCGGTGAAGCGGACCAGGCGAGCGGAGAGGACCATCATTGCTCCCTCTCTGACCCCACCCCCACATACAGAGTCACAAACCAGTGACCTGGGTGGCCCGGCCCTGGTGAACAACTAAGGTTCTGCTCCTCATACATAATAGGCACAAACAGATAAAAACATGGCTCAAGAACAACTCAGAGCCCCAGAGCCAATAAATCTAAGTGATGAAGAAATAGTCAAACTTTCAGATGCACAGTTCAAAACACTGGTGATTAGGATACTCACAGAACTGGTTGATTTTAGTCACAAATTAGAGGAACATATGAAGGAACTAATTGAAATGAATGGAAATGCACAGGAAACCAATAGTAATGAAAAGGAAACTGGGACTCAAACCAAGGGAGCAGAGCAGAAGGAAGGAAAAAATGACCAAACAGAAAAGGCTGAAGAAACAAGAATTCAAAAAAATGAGGAGAGGCCTAGGAACCTCCAGGACATCTTTAAACGCTCTAACATCCAAATTATAGGGGTACCAGAATAAGAAGAGGAACAATTATGAGTGGAAAACTTATTTGAACAGATAATAAAGGAGGACTTCCCCAATCTGGCAAAGGTAATAAATAGACATCCAGGAAATCCAGGAAGCTCAGAGAGTCCCAAAAAAGTTAGACCCAAGAAGGAACACACCTAGGCACATCATCATTACATTAGCCAAGACAAAAATGAAGGAGACAATCCTAGAAGCAGCAAGAGATAAGGGGACAGTTACCTACAAAGGAGTTCTCATCAGTCTGTCAGCGGATTTCTCAAAAGAGACCTTACAGGCAAGAAGGGGCTAGAAAGAAGTATTCCAAGTCATGAAATCCAAAGACCTACAACCAAGATTGCTCTATCCAACAAAGCTTTCATTTAGAATGGAAGGACAGATAAAGTGCTTCTCAGATAAGATCAAATTCAAGGAGTTCATCATCCCAAGCCCTTATTATATGAAATGTTAAAGGGACTTACCTAAGAAAAAGAAGATAAAAAAGATGAACAGTGAAAGGACAGCAAACTCACAGTTATTAACAACCACACCTAAAACAAAAGCAAACT